AGGGTCTCGCCGGGGACGGTTTCGGTGCGTTCGAAAATGATGCGTTTGACGGCGCGCGGGGCCTTCATGGCCCGGAAGGTCTTTCCCGTGTGCGTTGGGTGCAGGGCCTCTGGCACGGCGGTTCCACTTGTGGAATCAACAGATATTTCCCTGTATAACAAACCGAGATTATTTTCTAGTTTGAAAAAACGTGCTTGAAATATAATGACGGCAGAAGGCGGCTATGACAACCTTGTCTATGACTCCCATAAATGGGGCGATGACGATGACGATTATGATATGGGGACGATGTTGATGGCAACAATACCACACCTTTTGATCCACCCTCTGCATCTACCCCAGGCCCTTCTAGTGAAGAAATTCCAATGAAAACAATGCAAAAAGAAAAGAGGGGGCTGCCTGAAACTTTTTATGTTGAGACATCTTTTGGTGGAAGAAGAGAGGTATCCACTGAAGATATTGAAAGAAGGCTAAACGCTTTAAGAAACCCAAACACAGGTTTGCTTGATTTAACAAAAATCGATGCTCGTGAAAACCTTTTAAGCGAGGAGGATAAAGCAAAAGAAGTCCAAAGAGTAAAAAATTTGATCAAACCACGGTATCCCCGTGCCCAACCTGAAAAACTGGTCACCACGTTTTCCAAGAAAAACCCGATGTGGGTTGTGGTGGTGAGGCCGAAGGGGTGAGAGACCAAAATACTTTTAGACAATTCCAGCGGTTTCCAGAAAGACTTCTTAAACAAAACATTCGTCAAAAACGTCATGGGGTCTGATTTCAGAAAATCAGGGCTGAAGAAAATGTTAACCTCCGAGAAGATGCCCGGAGGCAATTGGATCTGGAAAGCGCGAAAGAAGAAAGACCAGCTCAAGAGGAGCGTGTCATTAGGCAACAGACCCAAAAAATTTGGGGGCAGTATATTGCCCTCCAAGAAGAACAGATCCAGAAAGACCCCCCGGGGACGTGAAAAAAGAAAGAAAGAAACTTTTGGAAGCTGAAAAACAATTAAGGCTGTTGCAAGCGCTGGCCGACAAAGAGGACAAAACCTCTTCGGAGACGGATAGGATGAGGCGCCAGACCGCGGAGGCAGAAGCCCAGGTGCCGCCCTTCAAGAAAAGCTAAAAGAGACAGACCCGGCCTCCATTAAGACACAGAAAAATGCGTTGAAGACCGAGGTTGCAAAGCTTGAAAAAGAGGAAGCCACTCTTAAAGAACAGTTAAAAAACAAAGACAAAGCACAAGCGGCAGTCAGCGCGCGTGTCGCGGCAAAAAGAAGCAAAAGAAATGCCATGGAAGAAAGGTTCAACAGAAGACAGCCTTTGGACGAGCTGCGAGAGCGAGAAAGCGAGCTGCAGCGTGAAAAAGATCAAGTCCGGGATATAATCCTAACTGAAGACTCCTCGCACGCCGACAAAAAGGCAGCAGAA